TGAGAAGATCCCCCATGCCCTACTGTGGTTTTCTCCGCCTGCAGATCCTCGTGGCTGACATCAAGGACGCAAAATACCAGGCCGCAGCCCATGCCCAATGGTCAACGCGCTCGCCAACCACGGCTACCTCCCCCGCGACGGCAAGAGCGTCTCGCTGGCCCGCCTCATCGTCGGCTGCAAAGAGGGCATCAACCTCGCCGCCGACGCCACCATTCTCGTCGGCCTCAAGGCCCTGCAGACCTCGACGACAGGGAACCCGCTGACGTTCAACCTCGATGATCTATCCAAGCACGGAGGTACGCAGATTCCAATATTCTCTACGGCCCTTCCCTCGTGATACACACGTAATCATCATAGCCCACCTAGATTATTAACACATTGGCAATGAACGTAGTAATCGAGCACGACGGCAGCCTAAGCAGAAACGACGTCGCATCAGGCGACAACCACACCTTCGCCCCCGAGATCTGGGCGACGGTCGCGGCGCACTTCACCGAGGACACCATCTCGATCGAGACGGCCGCGCAGGCCCGGAAAGATCGCCTCGCCGCCGCGCCCAAGCTCAACCCGGCCTTTAGCATGTCGGACGACGACAAACGGTTCAGCTTCATCGAGACCAGTCTATACCTGCGCGTGTTTGGCCACGGCACCGACGGGCATGCCAAGACGCAATGGGTGCGCACTTTGTTCGGTAGGTTGGTCCCTGGCTCCCTTTTTTTTTTTTGGAGGAGGAGTAGGAGCTGTCTTGAGCTTTTTGGACTCTTTGATCCCGGGAAGGAAAAAACAGGCTATGACATGCTTGATATTGATGATATTCTGACTTTCGAGCACTAACAACAAAAAATAGAACACGAACGTCTTCCGTTCGAGGAGGGTTTTACGCGGTCCAAGACGCCGCTGACGGTCTTGGAGCTCCTTGACCTACAGAAGAAGGTCGAGGCTGCGTCGTGAAGGCCTTTCTTGAATATCGTCGAGTGCGTGGCGTTACTGCTTTTTGGGATTTGCTAGAGTACTGGTAGTCTACTTGGAGTCCAATCAATTTGGGGACTCGGTCGGGAAGCATTCCAGGTTGTTTATCGAAAACTTGGTGCACTGCCGAGCAGCAACTTAAAGGATGTGCGTGATCACTGCGCGAAGCGTGCAACGAGGTTATGAAGGATGGCGCCTGGGCAGGAGAATCATCATTTTCGTCATGGGGTTTCAAAGCTGAATCCTTTCTTCTTGATACTACCTATTAATTTACGTTGGGTCATTGGTATCCTTTTCTTCCTCTTTTTCTTTTTCTTGAGATGTATTTTGACATGCGAAATATTCGGTTGCGCAGCTTCGACCTTTTCGCAGATCTTGATCGAATGTAGTAGTGACACAACTTACCCTAGCTGATTGCGCGTAGTATTTCCAGGTTGGTTCATGTCTTGCTTCTAACGAACGTCAGTGTGCAAATGTGCACGCAATCCATCGAGTTTGAACACTCTTCAGGGCTTAATAAGAATCGTGTAATATTCAGGTAACTTACCATCGGCCAAGTTTGGCAGTCCGCAGCGTGCATGGCACTATTTCCTGGATCCATTGCTGATAGGCCGGCTTCGTCTCCGGTTCGCCCAAGGCAGACTGGTCGAATCTTCAACGTCGTGCGATGCCCCCGTGTCGTTCAAGAATCAACCCTGGGCCTGTCACCATTTCGACTTGTTTTACACGGCTTGAAAGATTGGCGAAACTTCTCTTCCAGCTGCGGGAGATATTTGCAGTTATTATGATCGACTCGGCGATGTTGTGTTTCACGTAATGTATTTGACCCCCTGTTATTATGATGGATGACCCCTTTATGGTCGACCGTGCCACAGCGGCGCTCTCGAACTTGAAACTCCGACCCCGAAACCCTCTCCTCTGCCAGCGATGCCAGTCCTGGAACAACATCGAAACTGTCGTCCAGCACGGCTCTACCCTCGCGAATATCCGCTCGCTTGAGCAACTCGCATACAACGCCCATTGCCTGCTATGTCGTGCGCTTGTGTCGGCCGTCGAAACACGGCGCTCGGCATCACAGCCAGAACTGACGAATACGTCTTCATCGTCATGGCCGGCAGCGCAGATCTTGGTCCGCAACCACGGGCCGTTCTTTCTCGACAACGGTATCCATCATCATCATCCAACCGCACATACCAGTGCCCGTATCGACAACTCGGAGGTCATCCAAACGACCGTACGGCTTCTTATCAGCCTCGAGATCAGCTTTGTCCCCGAGGTATCGATGCGGGACTGGGTGGATGGAGCCGCGGTCACGACACTGGCGGCGTCGCACATCTGCATCACGCCCCAGTTTGCTCTCCGCTTTTCAGGTGTCCAGGGCTCACCCGGACCGCCGCAGTTGATTTCCATCGAGCCTTGGGAAGTACCGTTCTTTGATATCTCGCTGCTGCGCACTTGGCTGCGGGGGTGCGAGGAGGTGCACCACAGAGAATGCATCGACGACGAGTTGCGCAAGGCGACCCAGCTGATGCGGTCCAGCTGGCCGCGGGATTTTCGCGTCATCGACGTCCACGAGATGAAGCTCATCAGACCCCCCGGCCTGGTGCGCTTCGTTGCCCTGAGCTACATGTGGCAGCAGCAGCAGGAGGACGGTGGCAACAGCCCGGGCGCAGACCATGTGCAGCTCGAAAAGCACAACGCAACCCAACTCGAGTCCGCGGGCGGCCTGGTCGACATTGCGCTCCCCGACATCATCTCGGACGCCATCGCCCTCTGCCGGGACCTGGGCGAGTCGTATCTCTGGGTCGACCGGCTGTGCATCATCCAGGACGACGCGGTCTCGAAGCACGACCAGATCCACCACATGGACAGGATCTACCAATCCGCCATCTTCACCATCGTCGGGGCTCTCAACAGCCGCGACGGAGGGGGGCTCCCGGGTTACTCGGGACGGCCGAGAAAGGCTTCCGTCTGGAGCCCGCCTCGGTCGGTTGACCTCGACTCTGCAGGCCGCGGGATCAAACAGAACTCGATGGAGGCGCTGGTCTACCCATCCCTCTGGAACAAGCGCGGCTGGACGTTTCAAGAACGCATCCTCGCCCGTCGATGCCTGTTCATCACCGAGTTCCTCGTCATCTTCGAGTGCTCGCAGGGGCAAGCAAGCGAGGAGATGACATACACAACCCAACAACAGCCTCCTGAACCCCCACCCCGCAGCCCGGATGAACACCACGATGCATCGCCCGAGTCCGAACAAGATGAACACCGCATGCGGCAGCAAGAGCACCGCCAGATCCCCGGGTTCCGCGCCTACGTGAAACGCAACACCCGCAGCAAGACAGCCAGCTACTACCTGATCTTCTACTTCCACCGCGTCGAGGACTACACCTCCCGACAATTCTCATACGACCGCGACATCCTCGAAGCCTTTGCCGGCGTGGGCAACGTACTAAGCCACAGCCTGTCATCGAGCATGCTCTTCGGTCTACCCGAGAAACACCTCCCGCAGGCACTCATGTGGACATGCCGCGGCGCGGTGCGGCGGCGCGAGAACATGCCGCAGATTCCGAGCTGGAGCTGGGCTTCGTCCCTCTCTCGCGCCGACTACTTCTGGATCCAGGCGTGGATGCAAGGTGGTAGCACGGCGCGCGAACATATAATCCAGATCACGAGCCTGGTGTACTTCTACTTTCAGGATCCTGAACTCTGCGCGCTGCGTAAACTAGATGTCCAGGAGCGGTGGATGGGGAAGGAGATGGCCATCGACGCGTTTCGCGATCTAGATGAAATCCCTAATGTTCTTACCAAGAAGATGAAGTACTACAAACCCGGCGTGGAGAGGACGACAAGGACGTGGAAGGAATGCCCGCATAACCCCTGGCAGACCCTCGCGCACACCGCTCTTGACCCAGACGCCTGCCGCGTCGCAGCGAGTATACCAGGCTGTCTGGTCTTCAACACCACCGTCGCGTCGGACCTGATCCTCAAGCGTGACCACAGACACCAACCAGAGAACCAGTCCGAGCAAGACGTAGTAATCTGCACCCGAAAAGGCGCCGTGGTGGGATGGATGAACAGGATGAGCACGGAATGGATCGCCACCCACGTTGACGATGATGATGAGAACGCGCCGCCGCGTCGTCACGAGTTTATTGTTCTCTGCGGTGCGCTGGCCAACTGGAAGACGAGAAAGGCGTTTGTCGCCGACCCGGCGGCGAAGAACTATGATCTCTGGCGGCTGCATGTCCTGCTGGTGGAGAGGGTGTTCCCATCGTCCCAGTCGTCGTCTTCGTCGTCGTCCGGGGCGCATGTGGTTCGAAGAGTGGAAGTTGGAATTGTGAAGACGCAGCGGTGGAAGGAGTGTAGTCCGCGGTGGGAGACTGTTGTGCTTTGCTAGGTAGTTGAGCTCGGAGACAGGGACGGCGTTGCTGGGGGTGGTGGATGGACATGTTTAGAGTCGAGGTCATTTGTTTGAACGGGGGGAGTTTAACGGTTTTCAAGTTGGCGCTGCTGGTTGGCTGGCCTGCTAATTGTCTCTGGCTGTTTGGGTCTTTGTTGGTGAACTGATGAGACCCATGTAATAGTCGGCTGTGATGGGGACACGTAGGTTGGTGCAGTTTTCGTTCACTGCAAGCGGTAGCACAATTTTCGTTTTCCCAGGTACATGATATACTCAAATACCTACCAATACATTACCAGGTAATTACCTTCCTCAACACTTCGACCGGGTGGGTAATTATTAGTTGAATCTTGAAGACTGAGATCTGACCGTGCATGCTCTACTCCATCACATGGCTAAACACAACTCTATCTGCCAGTCATTGATAAATCATGCCGCGCGCTTAGATCGAGTCGTAGTACTTATAAAGTAAATCATATAAGAAACCGAAATACGTCATAAAGCGGCTCGATCGATGGGGTAGGTACTGTATCCTGCCGGTTCGGTGTTGTGTGCTGTGCTCCGCCTCCTCCACCATCGGCCCACATAACAAACACAGCCGAGTCATGCACCCATCAAATACTAAAACAATCTCCTTGTGGTGTAGTTGGCTATCACGTTCGACTGTAATCGTTTAAAAATCATAATCGAAAGGTCACCGGCTCGATTCCGGTCGAGGAGACACAAGCATCATTATTACTTTTTGCCTTTTTTGCCATTCCCCCAGACACTCCCGGGGCTTGCATGGCATTCCAAGGGGTCTTCTCGCTCCCCTTCATAGAACTAATTATATCCGTCGAGCGGATCGAAGTTTTTAGACGCGGCTGTGATTTGATAATTAAGTAGGTATCGATGGACCGACTATTACCTACTGTATGTGATAACCCGGTGTGTTCAACTTGAAGTGCAAGTAATCCGAAATGGGAAGATTAAGTCCGTCTCTCACCGACGGCAGGCCGGAGTTTTTAATAAGGCAATGATCATCCATGGGACGGAGGGAATACAGAGTAAATATAACCCAAGTGTTTATTCGGCTTTGGTGTGAACTGATTGGTTCATTTCATCTGCGGAGCGTTAGGAATAAGAGACTGGCCCGGGACTGAGCTCGAAGTTGTGAACTGGTTGGTCAGGCTCATCGCGATTTTGCTGTGGGGTGTTGAGGCAAGCAATGCAAGCGATCAAGATGACGAACCATGGGCACAACTCTAAACAGTATGTTCTTTTCGCCAGGCGACCATCAAAGCCACCCAAACTCCACAGCCTAAATACAACGCACACGATTGCGCCTGCAGCCATTATATGTACCCGAGGTAGTAACAGCACAAGCCCCATGTTTAGTGCCCCCATTCTTTTAGCATTCTATCCTTCATCCATCTGTCATCCATCCAGGGGTAGTATCCAATTCGTGAAAAAGAAAGAAGCGAAAGCAAAACGCCAAGAATGAAAACCAAGTCTCTTTGATGACAGAAAATTAACAACCAATAATATAATGCAACTTCTACTAACTCATCAAGGAGACCACGGCTGGATCCCCAACAAATGTCATGGCCGAGTCCTGCAATACAGCCCCTTCTGTCGGGAAATTGAAATTCGAAATCATGGACGTGAAAGCAGCGTCCGGCTGAAAGTCCATGGCAAAAAAGTCGTGGTTCTGGAACGGAGGCGTCTCGGCATCGGACGATACCTCCGAGTGGCCCACCATATCGTATTTCGTGGGCCACGAGGAGCCCATGTTGCTCAGGCCCGGGCTGGAGAATGGTGAATATTGCTGCTGCCCGACTTGAAACATGTCGGCCGGCCTGACGGTCTGCTGCCGCTGCTGCAGTTTGAGTTTCATGTCTGCAATCTCCTTCTCAGCCGCCTCGACGCCCTCGGCAAGAAGCTCGTGGCGGATTCTTTCAGCGTCGTCGTAATCCGTCGAGTACAGACTCGCCGTCACCTTCAAGCAGACAGCTAGGATGAGGTTGATCTTGGCGGTGAGGGGTCCCAGGTGAAATCTGGACTGCCAGAGCTGGGATAAAAATATCAACGAGTCGACAAGAAGCCGCTGGAAGATGTAGACGGACTGCTGAGGGTGTGGTGGCATGATGCGGTTAAGATCAAAGGTACGGAGCCGCCGGACGACTGAACAGGCACTCAGCGCAGCGCGGCCAGCGTGCGTCCAAAGCAGATGCACTGCCATGTTCCCAACCTCGCCGCCTAGCTGGCAGAGGTTCTGGAACTTGTGGAGGACCGAGCTGGTGTAGTCCCAAATCTCCAGCAGCTGGCTCCGCTCGGAAATACCGACGGTCGTGCCCATGGTTGAGCTCATAGTCACGACAGACGAAAAGCTGTCCATCAAGACCATGAGGACGGATTGCTGCAACATCCGGATAGGGTCCTCAATCTTGGACTTGGGGCTCAGCGAAGGGGGTAACTCAGACAGAAGCGTCCTGAAAGCGGCACGAAGGTCGTTTTGCATCTTGCCAAGCTCCGGGGGGACGGTAGAATAGAGAACCTGGTACACAGGCGCAATGATCTTGGCCAGCTTTGTGGCCGCAATGGTGAAGGCCACGTCTCCTTCGGCCTTGTCGTCTGACTCAAAGTCAAAGTCGAAAGCGCCATTGGCTGTCGCGGGGTCAAGATAACGTAGATTAGCTGTCGTCGGCAATGGGCAGTCGCTCTCGCTGAGGGGCAAGTTGAACTGGGAACCGCTCCGAATGCAGTATGCGAGATTGCACCGGAGGAAACATGCCCAGAGCCGTTTCCTGACCTCGGCGTGGTAGGGAGACATGTCAGGGAATAGCGCAGGATCTCGATGTAGCCCCATGTTCGAGACGATCTGGATGGTCAGGCCTTGGATGGCCATCAGGTCGTAAATCTTGTCCGTGTCTGACGCCGAGATGCTCTTTAGCACGGTCAGAAGAAGAAGAACCTGCACGACTGCGATCGAGGGTTTTTGAAACCTCGGTGACATGTGGATGCAGTCCTCGACATATCGGGCGAGCCTGCGCCCATTGAGGCGTTCCGACTCGACATTCTGCATGGCGATGGCGATGACGAGCAGATGCACGGCGATGTTCACCGGGTTGTCCAGGGAGCCGGCGCATATCTGATCCATCTCCAAGTCTAGAGCAGCAGGGTCGACTATGGAGTAGATGCGGCCATATGTCCGACAGTACTGAAGAGTCCATTGCTGGCAGGTTTCCCGATCAGGCAACAGACCTCGCAGACTGCTCCCCTTGGTCGGGCCTGACAATTCTGAGGGGGGGAGGGCGTTGCAGGCACGAACCAGCACCTTGAGCTCGGCGAAAGACCGTCTGCTGGCCTGGAACTCGGGTGCTCGGTCGAGCATGGCTTTGACGACGATCATCTCGTTATAGGGCGCCATCCAGTGACTCAACCCCATCATGCGGGTCTTGACACTCGAGCCCTGGAAGACATTTCTGCCGGGTGCGGGGATGAGGTCACGCCTCTCACCGGCGGATGGCGTCTCAGGTGTTAGTTCTCGAGATGAGGGACTAGGTGAGGGAGTCTGTGTTTGGGTCTGTGTCCTAATTTGGGTTTGGGTTTGGGTTTGGGTTTGGGTCTGGGTTTGTGTCCGGACCTCGGGGAGTGCGGCTGCTGCTGGTGCTGATGCTGCTGCTGTTATCGTATTGCTTCTCTTAGGCGGCGAGCCTGCGATGGCTGCCCTTGCCTTTGATGGCCGTGACACCGAGTGGGCCCGTGATACGGGCTGGGACTGGCCATCCTTGTCCTTGGAGGTGGTGTAGGCGCATTCGGACGAGACTCCTCGATCTTGACACGGCTTGCAAGGAGCTTCGCGATTGCACCTGATCTTGCGGGTGCGGCATTGCCAGCACGAGACAGGCTCCCGTACCCGCGGACGTTTGCGGCCGGCTTTAAGATGTGACTCGAAGCTATCGGCACTGAGGTGATTGAAGGTGAGCGACATTGAAGCTCAATCAGCCGGGGCGGTGGGGCGGGGGCAGAGAGGGGAGAGAGGGCGGAGGGTCGTGAAAATGTTTCAGGCCGTAGGGTGGGGATGGATGGGATGGGGTGGGAGCAAAAGGGACCAGAATAGTAGGAGGGGCAGTGGAAGGGAAAATGAAGCAGAAAGAGCTAGGGCTAAGATAAATGGGACGTGTTGAGGCGGCTCCGGGATTTATGATGATGATGAGGGATGTTTGGAGGAACATGGAATGAAGACGGAATTGAGTTCCATGGGTGAGCAAGCACTTCACGAGGGTGTGGCCTGGGCACTCGGTCCAACTGCCACTCTGCAGAAAGTGGAGGGCAGCCACGCATTGCAGCGGTCTGCACGCTGCACCTGGTGCATGCGCGCTATCACGGCAGGCTAGCGGCACGTTTTGATCCTCCACTGGCACTGGGGGAAGGGGCTTACCAGGGCAACGCCAGGCTGTGGCAGGGCACTACCACCGGGGAGTTGTCGCTGCGCTGTCCGCCCGGTGCGATGAGAGGCTCGGGATCCGACCGACCAATGGCGCAAGAGCCTGAAGAATTTAGAGCAGCAGCTAACAGACAAGAGAAGAAGAAAAAAATATCACGTCCAAGTCGCGGATGAGTTGTCAACGCAAACAATCATGTCATGGCCCAGAAAACTACCTGTACTTTTGGTAAAGACCTCGAGACCAATTGAGCATCCCACAAACTCAGGTACCTCAGCCTCCCGTCATTTGACCCCGATAACTTGCGTTTACCGTCTCGATGCTACCCATCTTTCGGGGATTGATAACACCCACCCGCATGGATAAGGCCGGTAGGTAGGAAATGGTAGGGGAGGTATGCAGGCTGTTGATTGATGTGATGAGTTTCGTTGCGTTGTTCAACAGATCAGATCAGACTGCCAGACCCCCGCAGACGCAGGCGCAGACGAATGGAAGGTTCTCTTGGTCGTGCAGGGTCCTGGAGCTAGCGCTGCACGTCAGCCCGGACCGCTGACCGTCATCCCTAAGGCATCTCAACCCGGCGTCCGTACGGGTTGGTCGTCCGCTCCGTACCTACTGTGTACCACAGTAAGATGTCTTGTCATAGTTTACGGGCGCCGGGAGACTGAGTAAGAAAGGAGGGGAAAGCTGCTGTCGAGGCGGGACAGCTCCAGTTCCTGTACCTTTGGCGAGGGAGCTTATGCCTTGCCTCGCATGGATAATGTACCTACCCTATTTATTGGCGAGCGTGACACCCTGACAGCATACACGATTCTAGAATCCCGCCAACCATTGTCTGCCGTGCAACGGGTTACGTACGCGCTCATCGGCCGTGGAAAGCATTCGAACCCGAGACAGGCAGTCGCCCGAATTAAACTCAAAACTAGAGAGCAAGCTAAGGCAGAAGCCCCAGGCCCTTGGGGTGCTTGTCCTAGCTGCATCGCATCGCATCGATTCCCGTCCGAGGCCGGCCGCAATTGAAGTAGCATCAGACAGGAAAAGCACCGAAGCCTGCCGGGGGCGCCTGGAGACACCTTCCCTTAGCACAGAAAGCAAGGTCTGGTAGGTAACCTGGAAGCTTTTGACTTGGAGACGTGAGGTGGACCGAGATCAATGATGGGATAAGATAAGGGGAGGAAGGCACGAAGGTCAGGGTAAAACGAGGTACCACCACCTCATGTCGTGGGTGGACGAAAATGCTTGGCCCAATCAGCATCCACTGTCAGCCTGCCACTGCAAGGCCTGCGCCAAGTCG